AAACACGGCCAGCAGCGCAAACTGTGAAAACCGCCAAACTCCACCGCTTGAAGAAACCCAATTTGGATTCTTCCGGCCCCTACATTCACCTGTCTTCCACCGTGTCCAGCACCTCTCCTTGTAACCGAAACCTTGCATCTTAAAGGTCCCGATCTAAAATCCCTGAGCCCTCCAAAGTTCTCAGAATGGCCGTTTTTGCTTCTAGGGCTTTCTAGGATGCTATACCTGACGATTATGTAAAGCACGGGGCCTTTATAATTACAAAAGGGTTCCTTGAAAGGTGCTTTGTGCTTCTTTTTTAGGGATCTATGGGGGTCTGTAAGGCTTCTATAGTAAGAGGGGCCGGGAAATTGCCTAAATCCTGAGCCCTAAACCCCAAGCCCTCCTAGACCCTAAGCCCTAAATCCTAAACCCTAGGCCCTAAACGAATTTAGACAGAACTTCTCCCGTGCATCTAGCCGAGGCAATGGGCTACGTATGAGCAGTGTAGAGGTTAGAGTTTAGGATCTAGGGGTCAGGGTTTAGTTTGGGGTGTAGGGGTTTGGGTTTAGGGTGTTTTCAACTCTCTTCGTCTAAAACCGAATCCAAAAAAGATTGAACTTTCTAATATAGACTAGGTATATAAGGCCAAAAGTTTAAAGTTCTCTGATTGGCTAAGTAAATCAATTTTCATCAGGTTACCTTCAAAATCCTCCCCCCGACGGCTGTCTCCAGCAGCCAGTAGACCTCCGGAGCATTGTCATAACCGCCCGAACCGAGCCGATACTGCCCCAAACACAATGGGTTTAGAGTTTAGGGTCTAGGGCCCCTTACAGCTCCAGAGTGCACTGGCGAAGTGTTAACCGGGTCTGGGCGAAGGCCCAGGGCTTCGGATTGCGGATTTCGGGTTTAGGATTTCGGGCGTTAAGGTTTAGGGTTTAGGTGTTTACGGGTTTAGGGTTTTAGGGCTTAAGCTTGAGGGGTTTAGGGTCTAGGGTTCAGGATTTAGGGGTTCAGGGGTGCCAGGCTCAGTCGACAGTCCTTTTTGCTTCCAGAGGAAGTCTTTGCTCCTTCTGTACATTATTTGTCCGTGTGTCCTAGTGGCGGTGTCGAACTAGGGGTTTAGGGCTTTGGGGTTTTAGGTTCAGGTGGGGTCTATAGGAAAATGCAGGGTTGAGGGTGCAGGGCATGGGGAGACTTGAAGAGTCGGAGCCAGGGGGTCTGGGGTTATTCCACACTACAGATATTGGGGAGCCCTAAGGGCGAAATTTGGAAGCTCACCCTAAACTCTAAACCCTCAAACCCTAAACCCTAAACCCTAAAACCCTAAAGCCCTAAAACCCTAAACCCTAAACCCTAAAACCCTAAAGCCCTAAAACCTAAAACCCTAAACCCCAAAGTCTCGGGTTTCGGAGTCTTTTAGTCCTTTCTTTCTTTAATCTGCTTTCACATGGCCCTATACCCAAGGCCCAGGGTCGTAGTCCTATGGCTCTGCTTCAACGCCGCGCCCAGGAACGCTGTTCATGTGCGGCCGGTTGCAAGCTGATTCCTTCGTAGGTGACGCCTGAGCACCTGAGACACTATTTGTGTTGTTGTTTTTTTGCTTTGTTTTTTTTTTTGTTTGGGGGGGGGGGGCTGGGAGGAAAGTAGTGCATCCACCATGGAAGCCGTATTCAAAAAGAGGCCTTAATAATTAGATTAAGGTTTTGGGGTATATAACATTAATGTACAATACTTTTCATAAGGAGCCCAAAAATAGTGTTGGCTTTTCTATAGGCTCCTATATAATACACAGATCTGAATGTCATGCTTATGGGTACGAAGAGAATGGCTAGCAGGACAGTCTTTTAACAAAGATACGATTGGCGCGCTCTGCTGGAATCCTGAGTGCACAAACACTGCTGATTCTTACAATTAGCAGGCATTTAACCGGCGGCAAAGAACCAACAAATCATGAACGCATCTCTCGTGAAATTGGCGAAGTCATCTGGTCTGCGGGGGGTGAAGTGGCAAAAAATATTCTCATAGCTTCTGCAGCATGCACTTCACTCTTGCAGCAAGGCAATAACAAATCAAACGAACCACAATGCGAGCAACTGGCATAACGGTTGTCGGGTTCAGTGCAAAGCGGAATCTGACACATGCCTGCACAGGCGCATCCCAGCTGTAAACACCCGGAACGCAGCATCATCAGCATCATTGGCTCATCGCTTCTCCAAAATATGCCTTAATTGGTGTCCAAAATACCCTAAAACCTAAACCGCTTGGCCCTCGCTCGGCCTGGCGCCGTTGCGCAGGCTGCAAGGCAAGCCGACGTGATGAAGGTGCAGAAAGCCACTCCAGGCCCAGGCGAAGGGTCATGACTAGAAAAAGCACACGCAGAAAATACTCGCAATTCTTCAAGAAAGAGGTAAAGAAACTTCGCGATCCACAAGCAGCAAACCGCCGACCCCATAAGAAACCCTGTGTTCGATGAGCCCCAGTCCATGGTGAGCGGAATAAATAAAGGTCAGTCGGTCCATTCAGGGGCTCCGAATTACAAAACATCTGAGGGGCCAGGTTCCACATGTCCGGCCTCTTACCAGCGGTTCTGCAAGTTGTGGATGGAGCCCCTAAACCCTAAAACCTAAACTCAAGACTATGTGACGGAAAACAGGGAAGGACTCGACGTTGCTTGTCACCTGAATCTTCGCTTCTATTTCAGCTCCGGATCCATCACTACCTGCGGCAAATCCCAACAATGCTTCGTGACCCCCCGGCGTTTAGTGACAGTGTGCTAAGTCCTTGCTGGACACATCATGCTCTGTAGTGTATATAGAGCACTTTGAACTTGTGCGAATCGGAAGCAGCTGCAAGGGAGAGCGACCGAGGCTGCGGCAAGGAGCACAGCACCTGTATTGCTTGCTCAGGTCAGACCCTCAATCGCGAACCCCAGAACGCTTGCAAGGTTCCAGTTCACTGCGCCGGCTTGCATGGGGCTTGATAAGAGTTAAAGTTAAAGCTTTGAGGCTTGCGGCTCAAGCTGTTGCAGAAGTGCCGCAGCAGATTTGCGGCATAAAACACCATCAATGAAGGCTTCAGGCAGTAGTAATCAGTAGTATCGCAGCATTACAGCAATGGTACTAATATGACTATGTTTTAGGAACAGTATCGTAATATTGTAGTATTATTTCGAACAATACTAGACGATCAAAACATCTCCCGATAGTACATTCACAGTAGCATGCTACATGACTTGTATGCTAATTCCTCAAAAACAAGGCCAACAGCCTGACAAACCCTACCACTCAAGCTCCTTCAGCATCAAGACATCCTCCTGCCTTGCGGTCTTGATGCAGGAAAGTGCCGGCAAAGTCTCGGAAGTGCACATCCTGCCAGTTGTTCCGGCTTTGCAGGCTCTGCCTGGGGACCCTGAACTCCGAAACCCCAAACCCGAAATTCGAGGGTTGAGGGTTTAGGGTCTAAACCCCTGTAAACCCTGAAGCTTGAGGCCTACCGAGCCTGGTGACCTATGGTTGCAAAAGATCCTCAAACACGGTTTAGGGTTTAGGGTTTGGGTTTAGGGTTTAGGGTTTTAGGGTTTGGGTTGAGGGCCTAGGGTTTAGGGTTTAGAGATTAGGGTTCTAGGAGATGTATACATACATATATATATATATATATATGTATGTATGTATGTATGTATGTATGTATGTATGTATGTATGTATGTATGTATGTATGTCTGTATACATACTCTTTGTGTATGTATACTAAAAAAGCACTACGAACTCAATGTCGGTACTTGGTTGAAACTTCTGTATTGATTCGAGACACTGGGAGCGAACAAAGAGGGCTTAGAAATAGGGATAAGGCTCTTCCCAGACTTCAGTAATAGGACCCTTGTTCTAAGGACCCCGAAATCAAAATAAGGTACCCTAAACCCTAAACCCTAAAGGCTGCTGGGCTGGGGTAGACTCAAGCAAACCCTAAACCGACCCTAAACCCTAAACCCCTAAACTCTAGACCGACCCGAAACCCTAAACCCTAAACCCCTAAACTCTAAACCGGCTACGAAGGCATAAGCCTTGGGTTTTTTTTAGACCTCGACACAGGGAGGGCATTGGCTTTGGGCTTCAAGGGTTTCGGGTTTAGGTGTGTTTCTTTAAGTGCAATGGCGTTTTCTCTGCGAGCAAGCCTGCCTGGGTTTAGGGTTTAGGGCTTATAAGGTTTAAGGCTTTGGGCTTCAGGGGTTTCGGGTAGCGTAAGGGTCTTGGGCTTGGGATTTAGGGTTTAAGCGTGGATTGGCCCTGGGCTTTGAGGTTTACGAGGGATTGCGGGCTTTCTGGAGCGAAAGTTCCCTGTGTTGGGTTTCCCTACGGGTCCATGTACTCATATAGTATAAACTGAGGCCTCAAAGTATGTAGTAGTCCCCATATAGGTACTTTGGGGGCAAAGTATACTCATATGGACACATGGACCTTTGGTGTACTATAAACCCTCTAATATACCCTAAACCCTAAACCCTAAACCCTAAAACCCGTCAGGAAGGACCATAAGGGCTCCATAAACAGGTACTTGGAGGATCCTGGTCGTCCTTAAACCCTAAAGCCTGGTGTTGGGTTTAGGGTTTAGGGTTTAGGGTTTAGGGTTTAGGGTTTAGGGTTTAGGGTTTAGGGTTTAGGGTTTAGGGTTTAGGGTTTAGGACGGCATACAATTCTCGAAACCATGAACCATGCGACCCGCTGCAGGTTCAGGCTTTGGGGGTTTTAGCTTTGGGGCGCCGCACACAGAGAACCGAATACCCCTTGACTAAGGAATATATACCTTCAGTCATACTACTAAGGAACCTATAACTTGAGGCATATTCCTTAATTAAGGAATCTACCTTAAACCACGACAATTTAAGACCTTGTAACTTAAGGTATATTTCTTAATTAAGGGGGAATTGGGTTCTCTGGGCAAGGGAAACAGATGGAAACTGTAACGTCTGAGAACCCGGACAACAAGGGAATGTTTCCATCGCGTGAATTGCACGACTGGTAGCTACGGTGGTCCCTTTATGCGGCGTCTCCTCTTGGTATGTCGTTCATTACTTCCACGAGCGGCATCAGTGAGCAAGGACGCGATGTCGTGAAACTCGCGGCTATGGGCTATTTCCGCAGCGGATACGCCGTCAGCCATGATACTCAAGTTTGCCCTTCCCTGGATGAGGGCACGAACGATCTCCAGGTCACCCATAAAGCAAGCGACATGCAGAGGGATGAAGCTTCCTTCATCCGCCTTGTCCAGGCATGCTCGGTGCTGAGTGAGCAATCTTACAGAGTCGAGCTGGCTTACTAGACAGGCCAGAACAAGCGGGGTTCTGCCAATAGGAGGCGAGGCCTCTATGCTTGCACTTGCTTCGAGCAGATAGCGCACCGTATCTGTGTGACCAAAAGTTATGGCCGCATGTAGAGGAGGACCTTCTGTGCCCACAACCTCTTTGTCTGCCCCGGCCTCAACCAAAAAGCGGACAACTTCCAGCCATCCTCTCGTGCAGGCAGCATGCAGTGGCGTGTCGCAGTCGTGGCGGTAGTTCACATCAGCACCAGCTTCCACGAGAAGGCGCGCCATCCCGACCTGGCCGACACTGCAAGCAAGCCCTAGAGGGGTGAGACGACGGTCTGCTACCGCATTTACAGAGGCTGACGCCTGGATCAGTAGTCGAGCAATCTCAGTGTTCCCGCCAGCTATGGCAAGCTCTAGGGGCAAGATCGGAACACGCTCCGTCGCGGCAGGACGGGCTACGTCGACACCCGACTCGATCAACCAATGCGTGATGGCCACACTGCCACTCACACACGCGTGGTGTAAAGGCGCTAGCCCTGAATCAGCATCCGGACGGCTCAGTTCAGCTCGAGCTTCGACAAGCAACTTCGCCGATCGCACGCTATTTGCTGAGGCCGCCCGGCTCAGGAATTGAAAATCTCGGAAGCCTTCGGCGTTAGGATCGAAAGGTTCTTGGAGAAGGGCGTCTACGCAGTTTGCGTCGTCCTGGGAAATCGCAATCTCTAGAGCTGTCGAGCACTGCGTATCAAGAGTGCAGAAGGACAAGAAGACCAGGCCAACAGTAAGGGGCAAATGAAGCAAGGCATCGTCCGGCAAAATGCTCCCATTTTCAAGCAGTCGCTGTTGAAAGCGTGTCTTCCCTGTTACCAGGACCAGATGCTGCTTCAAGGCAAAAGCAGTTCTTGCACCATAGAGGATCGCCAAGCTCTCAAACTCGTCATCAGAGAGGGTCACCAGCTCCTCCCCAGAGGCCATCATCACTACATGCAGCATCCCTCTGTAAGCAAGAACGAGAGGAGACGAATGCTTCTTTTCCAGGAGCCAAGTCTTCGGAATTCTTGGCAGCCGTCTCCCTGCACCTCTAGAAACATCGCAGAAACAACACGATGATGCTTTCGGCATGGAATATGTGCTGCCGCCACTCAACACAACACCGTCCCACTGCTAGCACCGGGAAGTCTGGCCTCAATGCGGATGGCATCGGAGGGGCCTCCTGCGCAACCTTCAGGCCTGCAGATAGGGGGTTTCGGCATTGGATTGAGCGGTTTAGGATTGTAATAGCCGGGACCCTCCTTGTACCCTCACATAGGGGTATATGGTCCCAAATAATGGGCATTTAGGGTCTAATAGAGGGTAGATGGAGGGTCTAGGAATAGAAGCCTGCTGGTAGGCTTGTTATATGAGATTGTGTGTGTGGGGGGGGCTGGGGCATGCTCGGTTGGGTTCCGGAACTGGCGCGCGTCCGCATACCTTTGCTTTGTGGAAGGAGGAGGAATGCTAGGGTTTAAGGTTTAGGGTTTAGGGACCCAGGAGCCATGACTAGGCTCGATACCACCAATAAGGGTATCCATTCGCAAAGTCTGACACACACACACACAGAGATACTTGGAGGATCATGGGACTTAATAAGTAAGGTATAAATACCTTCATCGGAGATATAAGTACATATATCTATATTTGCCTTATATAACCCTACTTACTAAGTCCCATGATCCTTTAAGTAGTCTATCGTAGCCCTGACATTCCTGCGAGACAAGACTTGGCAGTCTTCGTCCCGAACCGGAAGTTGGGACAGCCGAATCGAACTAAATTTTTTGGGGGCAGAAAACAAATAATAGTGCTGTCGTATAGCCCGTGTTTAAGTATAATACCTTAAACCCAAAACCCCTGAACCCTGAACCCTAAAGTCTATGTATTCTATTCAGGCGCCCACATTGCCGAATTTCTTGTCGAGGATGGTTGGGCTGGGAGACTTTGGAGACTTAGTACTTCCATAACCTACTTCTTTGTAGGTTGTTGTTCTAAACCCCTGTCAGGGAATGAGGAGGGAGCCTACAAGCAGGCTTTCGTAGGAAAAGGTAGGTGTTTGGGTTCAGGGTTTAGGGTTTGGGGGTTAGGTTTGTAAACCCTAAACCTTACTAAACTCTGAGCCCTAAACCCTGAAATCCTAACTGTTGTAGATCTGGGGGTCGAACTCCTGAACCCAAGAGCTCGTACCCACAGTGCTCCTCAACAATGCAAACCATTACCTGGACCCCAAAACTATGTAGAAGAATCGCCCCTCATAGGTTTTGGGGAATTATTTTATCTACAGTTGGGGTTTAGGTATTCATTAGAGCAGGGTTTTGGGTTACGTTATACTGCAATTTTCGTAAAGGACCCGTCCGAAGAATCTCGGGGGGCCTTCTACAACAGACTACCCGAACAACACCTGCACTACAGAGCATGAAGCCGAGCCTCAAACAAGCTTCCCTGAACACTCAACCGATCTCTCAGACTCTGGCACCTCTAAACCCTAACCCCAAAGCCCTAAACCCAAAGCCTCTTTAAAAAAACCCTCAACCCTAAACCCCAAGCCTCTTTAAACCCTCAACCCTACCTCAAACTCTCAACCCTTAACCCCAAGCCTCTTTAAACCCTGAACCCTAAACCCGAAAGCCTCTTTAAACCCTCAACCCTAAAACCGAAGCCTCTGTGACGGTGGGCAGTAGGTCTGATCGATCAAGATGCCTCGACCGCGTTTGGAACGGTTTCGGGGTTAGGGTTTCGGGTTTCGGGTTTCGGGTTTTTAGGGTTTAGGGTTTCAAGCTGCATAGCGGCTTACTTACTGGATTTTGCTTCCCCACATCCTAAAACCCCACATCCTAACTACGGCCACAATGACCCTAAAACCTAAACCCTAAATCCTAAACCCTAAACCCTAAACCGACGCATAACTGAAAATTAATGTACGGCTTGTGTCGTCCGACGGTAGCTCAGAGCTGCAGCTGCTGGAAAGCTGGCGCTGAACACGGGATCCGAAGCTGAGATGGTGCCGCTAAACCGCTAGGGGTAGAGTTTAGGGTTCAGGGTTTAGGGTTCAGGGGCCAGGGTTTAGGGTTTAGGGTTCAGGGTTTAGGGTTTGGGGTTCAGGGTTTGGGGTTTGGGCCTCCCGCACCCCAATGCACCCTGGCTCGCCTGTCACGACTCTCGCTGTCTTGAACATGCTGAAAGTCACCTGACAAGTTGGCAGGCAGATGTGAATGTAAGACATTGCATACGAAAAGGTTCTTCATGGTAGCCCTTGGCAATAAACCGTCCAGAACCCGACATCCCAGGCCAGAGGAAACAGCTTTTGAAGAGGTGCGCTGAGCTAGGATCATCAACTTGTTGTACCTCTATATGGGCGGTTCGCGCCTTTGAGTGCACTGAAAAGTACCCCTGCGCCCTGAACTCTAGACTCTAGGCGCCCCTAAACCCTTAAACTCAAAGCTACTGCAACCCCAGACCCAAACTTGGCCCCAAACCCTAAACCTTGAACCTTTGCTTACTTCCCCAATAAGCCAGGGAAATAAGAGGCTTAACTTTCAGATCACCACTAAATTATAAGAACCCAAAAAGTTTAAAGGTTGGGTATTGGTGAACTACGTTTAGACTATTAGAAGCCTATACCACCCTTATCGCAGCCGTGGCTTTACCATCAATCTAGCATTCTACCTGACATTAGAGAGGGATCCTTCATAAGCCTTGCCTTAAGTGACCAGATCCTACCTTTTTGTATGGAATTTTTAGGGTTTAGGGTTTAGGGTTTTAGGGTTTGGCGTTTATGGACCTTTATGGATTATCAACGCCCGCCCCCCTACAATCTTACTAACCCCAAACCTCAAAAGCCCTAAACCTGAACCCTTAAAACTCAGTACGTAGTCCATTATGCCGCACGCCCTGAAACCCTGAAGACCATACGAACCTCACAGATTCAAAACCATAAAACCCCGAAAGCTCTGAACACAGTCCAAAAGTTCTTGAGGTCTGAGTGATCTAGCGACCAAAAACTGAAAATCGGCGATAGTATGGGGTCTTTTCTGCTAAACCCTAAACCCTAAACCCTGTTCGGGAACCCTCGGAAATAAACTTGCCAGGCACATTAACCCCAAACCCCAAAACTTGCCCTAAACCCTAAACCCTAAACCCTAAACCCCAAACCCCAAAACTTGCCGGTCAATAGAGCTCCGTGCATTTTTGACCAGACCATGAGCCCCCTCGTCAGGAGGTTGCGTTAAGGGCTTGAAGGTGGTTTGGAGTTTAGGGCTTAGGCTCTAGGGTTTAGGGTTTAGGGGTTCAGGGTTAGGCTTAGGGTTTTAGTTTTAGGGTTTAGGGGTTTAGGGTTTGGGGTTTAGAGTTTAGGGTCTAAGAGTGGTTTGGGGTTTAGGGTTTAGGGTCTAAGGGTTGTTTTAGTGTCTAGGGTTTAGGGTTTAAGGGTGGTTGGAGGATTAGGGTTTACGGGTGATTAAGACGTTTAGGGCTTGAGGGTGGTTTGGGGTCCAGGGGGAAAGGGCGGATTCACAATTCACCCTAAACCTGATACTTCGGTTTTGGGGCTTGGGGTTGAAGACTACTAGTGTAGGTTTGCATTTGAGGCTGCAGGTAATTAACTGAAGCACATCCCTCATCAATGAAGCAGGAAGCCCTAAAACTCCAAATGCCTTCCGTCGCATGGCATCTGGGCCCAAAAGCCTTAAAGTATGAGCTCTCCGATGGTAGGAAGGACCATTAAATCATTAGCGTCCTTCTTCAGGATGAAAATGCTTGATGCCAGGTATGGCATTTAGTTTGGGATTCGAGGTGAGTGCTCTGTCCAAAACCTTAAACCTTTGGGATTCGAAACTGGGAGCCGTGTATTGCTCTTGTGGCGTTGGTGGGGCGAAGGGTCTGAATGAATAGCGTCAGGAAGTTGCGTTAGTTTTCAGAGTTTGGGGGCTGGGGCGATGCTGAAGTAGCCGGTACAAGATAACCACACGAGCCCTCGATCTCAAGCCCAAAATTTCCCCCGCGATCAAGGATTTTTTATGCTGACCCAAACGGAAAAGACGAAGTAAGAGATCGGCATAAATGATAACGGTATCCGTATTGTCCCTGCATGTTGATACGTCAACACACCCCAGAACCCAGAGAACCCAATAATACCCCTTAATTAAGGAATATCTCTTAAGTCATAACATAAAGGACCCTAAAATTTAAGGTATGTTCCTTAATTACGGGGTATTGGGTTCTCGGGAACCCAGGTTCTACTTCCTAGGCCCCTACATTATGCCCTGACAGGCCCTTGAAACATTGACCCGGCAGCTCGACAACCTGACTTACAAGATTTGGGTTTAGGGTTTAGGGTGTAGGGTAGGGTTTAGGGTTTAGGGTTCGACAACCGAACCGAACACGATACTGCTAATTACGGTTTAGGGTATGGGGTTTGGGTTTAGGTTTAGGAAATTCTTGTAGAAGCCAGAAAGTTGGAACATCATTATCCTTGTGGTAAAGCATCGCACTAATCATCCTAAACCCATGCTCCAACTTTCTATTATTCACTATATGCCTACACTTTAAATCCTAAACCCTAAACCCACGCAACCACTAAACCCTCAACCCTAAACCCTAAACCCTAGACCCTAAACCCTAAACCCTGAACACTAAACCCTAAACCCACCCGAGCCGGCCTTCCACGTCTTGATGCGCGCACCGTGCATCTGGACGGGGGCTGGAATTAGGAAACTTACCCGGACCCAGAGAACCCAATACCCCTTAATTAAGGAATGTACCTTAAATCATAGTATTAAGGACCTTATATTTAAAGGTATATTCCTTAATTAAGGGGTATTGGGTTCTCTGGGGAAGCTCCATAGATCCTACCATTGTGGAAGTAGGTCCGAAAAGACCATCCTTATATATTTTTTAAGGGTCTAATTCCACAATAGTAGTATATATGGAGCCTCTAGGTTATATCG